AGGTGACGGGGCCACGGGGCCAGCGGGGCGACTAGGCACTAGGGAACGGGGCCAACGGGCCAGCTAGGCGACAGGGCAGTGGGGCCAGCGGGGCGGCTAGGACCTAAGGCGGAAGCGCAGGAGAAGAGGGGGGGGGAGACCTAACCTACTCATGATACCATCTCAAAGTTAGAATGATTGCCTAGAGTGGGAGCATACAGGGGTATATAGCTTATGGGTTGTACTCTCTATCGCATGACCCTATGTAGTCTACTAAACATACACACATATGTTTGACAACCTCCAATTGGTCTACTGCCCCACCACTGAAATGACTGCCGACTACTTGACCAAGAAGCTGATGAAGGCCAAGTTCCAGTACTGCATGTTGCTGACTGGATTGCAGCACGTCAGCGACCTCGACCACATCGACACTCAAGAAATGAAGGAGGGTGTTGGAAATAACAAAAGGACTTTGGCATACGCGAAGACCACAACGGCGATGATTACCGAGTCAACACTTCTACTGTATCCCCTGACGATTCACACAGATTGACGACACTTTACAGATGTTACGAAAGGCAACGGTTGCAGACCGTTGACCGTGCAACTCAACGGTCAGAATCGCAAGAGTCTGGAGTCAGCGCGACAACAAGGACAAATAACCGTCCCGATATTGGAGAACGGGTGGTTACGCGAGTCGCCTTATCAAATCATAAAAGGGAATGCACCCCTCGAAGTGCAAAACATCTAGATTCTTCATATTCTCTTGTATTATTATATAAGCCTTGTATCCCTTTGGTATAATCAAATACTTGTTCTCGCATACCAGTACAAGGGTTCAACTCAAGACTTGCGCTGTGCGATTAAGCATTCTGTTACAAGGAATTAGCATTCGGAAAAGATTCTAGGGCTATTTTTAGCCCAACAGTAACTATGTACAGATAGAATCATGTGGTTCATGCATGTTTCTTAGGTGGAACAAGCATGAATTCATATGAGCAATTGTTGTTTTTTAGTAGAATTGGTTCTCTCGATATGATGCGTGGAGAGCACCCTCGGTTTGTTAACAAGAAATAAGAGTATTTTGTTTGTACACGTCAGCTGATCAAATATATTGAGTAGTTAATGAGGGGGAAAATACATCGGCGCTCAGTATTAGGGGCCTCGATAACATGTACGGTCAGTGACACGATATAAACAATCAGAATTAGTGAGTTCGCAATATGTTTGATCAGTCGGGTTCCACCGTTAGTCAGAAACTACAGGAAAAACGTTCCACGAATGGTCAGTAGAAGTAATCCTCGCCCGTTTCGGAACGTTTTCCCGCCCGCGCCAGCCCAATTTCGTCATCATTGTGGCTGGCGAGATCTTTTTCTCAAGCTCCAGGCGTAGTTCGAGAGAACTACATAAAGTATTCCCAAATTAAAAATCGTTGGACGTCGCTTACACAAAATTCCAAAATAGAGACCTCGCGCATTTCTGTCACATAAGCTAATTGGGCCACAGCAGGCCGCACATCGGGTGCGACATTGTTCAAACATTAACAAACTCCAAAAAATTGACACGAAAGAAAAAATCTATCCGGGATGGGCGCTAAGCCAATGAGGCGTGAAAAATAAATTGTAGTGCGCGTGCGCTTATTTGTTTCGAGCATGACAAGACCTGTAGACTCGTAATTCGGCGGAAAAGTTTTCCGGTAAATACATTTGTTGAAAAAATCGAAGGCCAACAGGCAGACTTCTAGTAAATTCGTTGTGTTGAAACTAATACACAATTAGATGCGGTTCTGAGAGTACCTTGAAGTGTTTTAAAACATATTCGTTTCCCGAAAATAAACCTCCGTAGCTATCTATATATTCTTTTGTTTTCGGGCGATTCGGGAATGACAACAAGTTTATGGCTTGAGTTTTTTTTTGGGACGTAAATGCGGTAGAGACAAAGCTGCCATTTTTTATCATCGCGGGACACGCTACACTATGGGACAAAAGTATGTGCTTCGAAATAAAATCTTGTTTTCGTGTTTCTCGACATACAAATGTCCAACAATATTTAATTTGGACATTTTGTGTTTTTTTCGCTCGAACTGCGATTGGACCTCGGGAAAAATATCGCGCCAGCCACAATGCTGACGAAATCGGGCTGGCGAGGGCGGGAAAACGTTCTGAAACGTGCGAGGGTTTCTAATACTGACCATTCGTGGAACCTTTTTCTTGTAGTTTTTTACTAACGGTGCAGCCCGACTGATGAAACATGTTGCGAACTCACTAATTCTGATTGTTTATATCGTGTTACTGACCGTACATGTTATCGAGGCCCCTAATACTGAGATTGATGCTGTTCCCGACTAAATTTCACCTCTATCCGCAACATCGATACAGTTCTACGAGTATCCCAAACGACCTGCAAGAGGTCGGATGTAGCCAGCCGTAGGCCCCAAATCTATTGACCTGTTAAATCTAATGATTACAGAAACCGTTTCTTCTGCCACGTGTAAGAAGCGGGAAGGTATGCTACACTGTTTAATGCGGTTACTGTACGTCACACCCTGCTCAGTACACGCACACGTGGTGGGATGACTGGGCTGGAAGGTTGACTGGGCTGGATCGGTTTGGTTCGCATGTGTAGGGCCCTGGCTAACAGGGTAAGCACCCTTAATGTCGCAAAAATTAGAGTAATTTTTAACCTGATGCCGTTTTTCAGCATGGTCAAATTTCCTGATTCTGTCTGCCTAACGGATTAATTTTTGTGTGATTCCGTACGAAGTAAACTTGTAGTTAGAGATCTGTACGGAATCAAATAATAATTTTCCCTTACCTCCCCTACCTCCACCAAGAAGTGAGAGTATATGTGAGAGATACAGTCTTCCCACCGCCTGAGGCGTATATGTGTGAGATACAGTCCATGGGTGTTCGAAAGCCTTTCCTTTGCCCTGGCAAAGGCCATTTGTGTTTGAGGATGTTCGCCTGCAGAAGTTTGGACGACAACCGAAGTTTGCAAGAAAATTGCAGGCCCTTGGTTTGTTTTCAGTTTACCCTTTTCCGAGGCCAAGATCCTCACCTAAACGTGTACTGTAACAGTGTGTTTTAGCGAGAAATTGGCGGAGAAGTCGAGTCCCTATAACTGCTTCGGATTGGGGAATGTAGGATAGTTCGATTTTTAATCACACGAGTTTCCCGTATTTTAGACTGTCATCCCGAGTGAAAGGAAAAGTTTATATCTGGTCCAAACTTCGGTTGTCGTCCAAATGTCTGAAGGCGACCTTAGTATCAAACCAAGAGTAGCCCTTCCACGAATACGTTTTTTAATGGGTAATATTTAGGAGATTCCGTCCGCTAACGGGTAATTTCGGGGCCGATTCCGTGACCTAACAGAATACCCCTGGCTTTTGCCAGAGCCCTGCTATGATGGCGCCTGTGGAAGCAGAAATGCTCGAGTTGTGTGGGGAGAAGGGTTTGAGTGGGAAGTTTGAAAGGGGGTGTACGTGATTCTGGCAGACTTCGAGGTAAGTGTTCACAGAAATGGACGTACACCTCATCTTGCTTTGGAAAATACGAATCTACCACGCGACGCGCTCTTGTTACGCGAAAGGTCAAATCCTATGGCAAAAACGACTCTCATCGAGAAAGACGGTTATGAATTGTGGCTAAGGGATGTTTTCAAGTCCGGGTAGAGAACCCCGGCCGAGTCCATGGGGGTCTCATGTCACGCTGACCCCTTTTCAGCAACCTATTTGCGAAGTGAAACGTAAAATAAATAAGTGAAAACAGGCACCGATAAAGATCCGGTCCAGCTGCAAACATTTGGTCGTCTCCGATGAGCAAATCGCTAAATTCTCACAATCAAAAGGAAGATCTGATACAGATTCTCCCACTTCGCGCTTCGTATGTTCTCCTAAGCAGAACCACTTTCGCAGAGAATGTTGACAAGTTATATTGTCTTGCCGTGAAATTCATAATGCTCCTGAAACACTCGCCATTCAAAGCAGGAAGAGGTGTATCTGGGGAGTCACACTTCACAACTGCTTAATGCCAGCTCCCGAACCAGCTTCATAATAGGCTCGGACTTCGAGCCACACAAGTCCATACCTAGAGCAGTTAGAGAACGCGCTAAATGTCGGTTTGTTACCTTGACAAAATAGACCCTGTCCCTACGCAAAACTTTCAAAGCACTCCAAGGCTACCTACATATTCCCTCTCTTTTCCCAGGTTAACAAATATACTAAGATTGGTATCCACTATATATCCACATTTTAACACACCAGTCGCTCTGACAGAAATATAGCACTAATGAAGACCACCGAAAATCATTTTTTAAATTTCTGTCTCTTATTTCTGTAGGACGTGCACCTGTGGTTTGCTATATCGCTAGGAGGCATACTCATGATCTAATTCTGCATCCTATGGATATACCCTGGGATTCGTTTCATGCTCCATCGGGGGCCACGGTTTTCCTGTCAGGCCACGGTTTTCCTGTCCCCAGCCTGCCGAACCGAACCTCCTTGCCAAAGCCAACAATCTCTAGGTTGTTTCCAGTCGTCAAGGGTCTTGGCTGGTAGTTCACACAGTACTTAGCCCCTGCCGATTTTAGGTTGCGTGCCCGAGATTTCCATGATTGGCTGTTTACCTTTTGTCCCGGCTGACCGACTCCCTTCACCCAGCACAACATGCACATTTGCAAGCCCAACTTCGGCCCTTTTTTTTCCTGCCTGTGGCAAGTTGGCAAGTACGACCCAGGGCTCATGCCCGTTCACCCTCGAAATTCTCGCCAAGACGTTATGTTCTTCGCGAGCTTCCCTGATCAACCAATCCGAGCCTCCCGATTTGGCCAAGGCGTGTCGTGCACTCCTCAGGTATGTCATCAAGAAGCACTGTTCACCGCACCACCACTCCACCACCACCACCACCCCACTCATTCCTCGCCCCTCCCCCCCTTCCCCTCCCCCCCCCACTATTCCCCCCACCATCCTTAGTCCCAGATTCCAACTCCAGCTTCAGTAGTGCTTCATTGCAGAGGGGGTATCACAAAATCACAGCCACAGCACAATGTAGTTCCGGTCTGCTCCACCACGTTGCACTGGTAGTAGTGCGGCAGTGCAAAGTCCTACAATCCAGTCCTCCAGGCCAATCCTCTTCTCTGGTTTTAGACAGGCGGTTTTGAACCTCTGTACAACCTATCTCCTCCGGGTGAATGCATGAACCGTGTTCTCGCCACCCTTCCCGGTTATCGCGCGGCCACGGCTTCGCTGCAGACCCTGTGCAATAGTACTAGAGATTAGGAGTGAGGAATCTATAAATTGTCAGCCCTAAGAAACTGGCGCGGTCTCGGAATCTCACAGGCTGAGTGAAATTTGTTACGGTGAATGATATGGACTTGGGAAGAAGGAATAGTACTACTTTTGGTAGATGCTACCATTGCTAGCTGTAGTAGTACTACACTTTGAGCCACAGCGCTTACAATGAGGTTTGGTGAGCGTCATAATTACCAGCATCCACACTTCCAAGGCGGCCTCTGGACTTCCTTCGTGCCCAGCCCTCCTCTCCTGCCTGCGTACGCCATTACTACAACCGCAAGCGACGCGACTGCAGCTACTACTACTAATACAACCACTGCGGACGAGCACATTGCTTTAGGTGGCGGCGCCGGAAGCAGCGGTGCTATTGCTACTACAAATACTACCATCGCCGGAGCCCGCGGAGCTTCGAGCAGAGGTTCCAGTGGAGAGTTCGCCGCTCCTTCTACTACTGGTGCTGGAGGAACGATCGGAGTGATCGGAACGCGAGGGGCGCCGGGCGCGATTCCTATAGTAGAAGCCCCGGCGCTGGTAGGATCACAGCCACTTCCAGTGGCTTCCGCCGCCACCGCCGCCGCCGCATCCGGGTGCGGCACCGCAGGCCGCTTTCTCTACTACTACCCCCCAGCTGGTGTTCACACTACATCTACTGCCGCTACTTACCATAGCACAGCCGCGGCGAGGGACGCGGCCTGTGGTGTCGGTCAGGCGTGGAAGTTAAAAGGGACCTTACAGAAAAATCCGAGCACAAGCACTGCCGACAGCAGCAACTGCCCCGCCACTAACACGACTACTGCAACCAGCAGCAGCGCGTACAGAGTGAGCGGCGGCAGCAGGGGACAGGAGATTGTGCTGGCGCCTGGGCCACTGGCTGCTGTGGCAGGGGCAGAGCAAGGCGGCGGCTTTGTGGAAGAAGAGTGGGCCGGGCAGGGAGAGAAGAGAGAGCAGGGGGAGCAGGGGGAGCAGGGGGAGCAGGGAGAGCAGGGAGAGCAGGGAGGGCAGGGAGGGCAGGGAGGGCTGGCAACCCTCCCAGCGGAAGGAGGAGTGTCTCCGAGCGTGGGCACAATGCACGTTTGTGAAGGAGCGGGGCGCATGGCAGACATGGCAAACATGGTGCCACACATGCCACGCGGCATCCCACACATGTCAGACATGACCCACATGGTAGACAGAGCAGACATGAGCGACGTGAGAGGCATGAGTGACATGAGTGACATGAGAGACAGGAGAGGCCCGGCTACTACTGGTACCACTACTACTTGTACCACTACTACTTGGGAGATGGACAATGCAGTGCAACCGAGCGATAATAGTACTCATACTACTCATGCTCTGGCTCCCAGTATGATGGCCCATCAGCCTGAGGGTCTGATGAGGTTGGGTCCCGGTGGAGCTGGCGCGGCTGCCCAAGCGAGAGGCCGGGCTAGGATTCGCGGCTGGATGCTGCCCATGGCTGCTGCTCCTGCCGCTGCTGTCGCTGCCGCCGCTACTGCTGCTGCTGCTGATGGTGCGGGTGATGGTGCTGCTGCTGCCGGCTGTGGCTGGGGCAGTGAAGGCGGCTGGAGAGGGGAGTTTGGGAGCGAGGAATGCGGTAATGGGGGAGAGGGGGAGGCGGCTGGGTCCGGGCGTGCTGCGGGTGGTGGGGATGGGGAAGGGAGTAGGGATGGGGGAGGCTACCGGGGAGGGTGGGCTGGCGGAGGGGGGAGAGGGGGAGGAGGCGGAGGAGGAGGGGGAGGAGGCGGAGAGGAAGGGGAAAGAATGGGGCCTGCGTGGCATCGGGTGAAGGAGGAGAGGGAGGAAAGAGCGGCAAGGGAGGAGGAGGGGGTTGGGAGTGGGCTGGGTGTTGCAAGAGGTGGTGCGGAGGAAAGGGGGAGAACCCTCGCCCCCACGTCTCACCCTTCTCACTCTCCAGACCTTTATCACCTGTCCCACCCTTCTCAGTCTTCTCACCTTTCTCACTCTGCGCATCCGTCTCACCCGGCTCATCCTTCTCAGACCATGCCAGAGAATTACACTTCCCTGGGGTCAATGCACCCCCAGCAGAGCTGCTACCAATATCAGCATCAACAACAGCATCAGCATCAGGATCAGCATCAGCATCATCATTATCGTCATCAGCAGCAGCATCAGCAGCCGCATCAGCAGCATCAGCATCAGCATCAGCAGCAGCAGCAGCAGCAGCAGCAGCAGCAGCACCTTCAAAAGCCTTACCACTATCCCACGGCAACCGACGCCTTTTCACTTGCGCAACCTTTCTTCCCAGCGCCGCCCACCATTCCTGCTTCCATTACCCCAGCCCCAGCCCACATTCCTCCAGGCGCCACAAGTTACATGGGGTACAGTAGCCCTGCTGCCGCTGGCGCATCTGCTGCAGACCCCATGAAAACTCTGGATTCTACTGGTAACACTCAGGTCGAATTGGGCTCATTTATAGGCCCGGGCGTGGTCTCTGCTGCTGCTGCTGCTCCCCCCCGTGCTCCCACCGCCACCACCGCCACCACCGCAGCAGCAGCAGCAGCAGCAGCAGCAGCACCACCCCCTTCCACGCCGTTTCGATCCCTTCCATTCCTCACAACCAGCAGCAGCAATGCCAATTCATTCGGAACCGTCGCTGCACCTTCTGCTGCTAATCTGATCACCTCTGTGGCTCCTTCTGGTGCTGATGCCACTGGGCCTTTCGTGTCCGCCACATCTGCCACAGCTGCTACAGCCGACACAGCTGCTACAACCGCTACAGGCGCTGCGGCTGCTGCACGCACAGCTGCAGTCATGCTGGGGAAGCATCCAGCCATGGCGTCGCCTGCAAGGGACTACCGCCATGTTCAGGTGGAGATAGGTGGTGCTGCTGGTGGACGAGCCATGACAGGTGGTGGAGGTGGCGGTGGTGGAGGCGGAGTAGGTGGTGGAGGTGGAGGCATGCCATTGTATCCGTACCACATGCAGCAACAGCAGCAGCTGCAGCAGCAGCAACCGTTGTACGTGCAACGCGGCTACCCGCCACTGCAGCTGCAACCGCCAGACGCAGACCAACCACAGGGAGAGCATCAACGCTTGGCCATGCACCCAAGCTCACAGCCGCAACAGCAGCAGCAACTGCAGCAGCAGCAGCAGAAGCAGTGGCCCGAGCTTAAGAAACGTGCGAGGGAGGGCGAGCCATCACAGCTGTTTCCTGCTGCCCCCCTCGGTGGCCGTCCGGGTACATCCAACCCTGCAGCTGCTGCTCCTGCTCCTGCTGCTGCTGCTGCCGGTGCTGCTGCTGGCACTGCTGCTGGGTGGATGGCACCCGTGGCAAGAGCAGCAGAGGGAGGCGAAGAGGAGGGCAGTTCAGGCACTTCTAGCGGCAGCCCGGACACTGCAAGACCACTTGTGAGAAGCCTTTATTTCTCTCTCTTTCTCTCTCTCTCTCTCTCTCTCTCTCTCTCTCTCTCTCTCTCTCTCTCTCTCTCTCTCTCTCTCTCTCTCTCTCTCTCTCTCTCTCTCTCTCTCTCTCTCCCCCCCCCCCCCCCCCCCCCCTCTCTCCCCCCCCTCTAACTGTACCATATCACCACCATTCCCTGTACCCAGAACCCTGAACCAGCTTCTCCCCCTTATTCCTTCTCCACGCGTTATCGTTACCGTGGCATGCTGGTTGTAGCCTCTTGGCATTTGGGCGTATCCAGTGACCTGGATTCTGATTCTCTCATTGCGCCCGTTATCTTGTTTTCCAGGTACCGAGGGGGAGTGAGGAAGCCTTCAAGGAGGATACCAGAAGGCAGCAGCAGCAGCAGCAGGGGGGGGAAAGGGCAGGCACAGGGCAGAACAGTCAGGAGGGGGGGGAGCAGGGGGGGGAGGAGGAAGGGGCGGCGAATGAGGAGGATGGGGAGGGGAAGGATGAGAGGGAGCGAGAGAGGGAACAGCGGAGGGCTCTGCTGCTGCAGTCGTTGCGGAGTGGCGCGCAGCAGTCCACTCGGCCTAGGAGCGTGGCAGAGAGGAAGCGACGCAGCAAGATCAGGTGCGAGTGCGAGAGACACATACCACGCACGCGCCATCCCCGCCCATCTGGAACTCCCCCGCATGGACACCAGAAGACCCTGCGGACTTTTGAGTCGACTCAAAAGTCACCTCCCCCGCATGGACACCAGAAGTCCCTCCCGACTTTTGAGTCGACTCAAAAGTCACCTCCCCCGCATGGACACCAGAAGTTCCTGCCGACTTTTGAGTCGACTCAAAAGTCACCTCCCCCGCATGGACACCAGAAGTCCCTGCGGACTTTTGAGTCGACTCAAAAGTCACCTCCCCCGCATGGACACCAGAAGTCCCTCCCGACTTTTGAGTCGACTCAAAAGTCACCTCCCCCGCATGGACACCAGAAGTCCCTGCGGACTTTTTAGTCGACTCATAAGTCACCTCCCCCGCATCCACACCATACTGGACACCACGCATGGTGGACGAGGCCGTCATCATGTGCACCTCACTTCAGCCACTCAGCCACAGCCACAATTCTTTTAACTCCACTCACCTGTTGTTGCCCCCTTCCCCCCTATCCCCCGTACCCCTTGCAGCGAGCGCCTGGACAACCTGAAAGATACTCTGCCCATCTGGGACCCATGCATGGACACGCCCACCATGTTGGACGCTGTCAACTACATCAGGTGCAGTGCCACGAGCAAGGCTCCAAATCCCTCCTGGGACCAAGCCTCTTAATCCCCTCCCCCCATTTCCTCCTTCCATCTTCCCTTCCTCCCTTCCTGCCTTCCTGCCTTCCTGCCCTCCTGCCCTCCTGCCCTTCTTTTCTCCTCCCCCCTTGCAGTGAGCGCCTGGACAACCTTACGGAAACTCTCCCGATCTGGAATCCGCGCATGGACACGGCCACCATGCTGGACGAGGCCGTCAACTACATTGGGCTGCTCATTCCCTCACTCACTCCCCCGCTGCCCCCCCCCCCCCACCGCCCCATCCCACCAGTGAGCGGCTGGACAATCTAAAAGATACCCTTCCGATCTGGAATCCACGCATGGACACGGCCACCATGCTGGACGAGGCCGTCAACTACATCGGGCTGCTCAAGCGCGAGGTGCGGCGCCTGCAGGTGGAGTGCGACGAGCTCGGCAAGGAGCTGCCGCCGGGGGCCAAGCGGCCCAAGGTGACGATTGACGACAACATGGAGACCAAGGTCACCTATGACGAGGATGAGGCGTGATGCTGGAGTGGTGCTTATTGGTACTAATGATGGAATGCAGGTGGAGTGCGACGAGCTCGGCGAGGAGCTGCTGCCGGGGGCGAAACGGCCTAAAGTGACGATAGATGATAACATGGAGATCAAGGTCTCCTATGAGGAGGATGAGGCGTGATGCTGCGGGTGGTGGTGGTGGTGCCTGCTGTGGCTGGTTTGCGTGGTGATACCGTAGTACTAGGCACGGCCTGCAGGTGGAGTGCGACAAGCTCGGCAAGGGGCTGCTGCCAGGGGTCAAGAGGTCCACGGCGGTTGTTGATGGCGACATGGAGACGAAAGTCATGCACATACGGTACCTGAGGAGGATGCGTTCTGATGATGCCAGGGAGAGGATTCTGAGGGGTGAGGGGGACTCAGCTACCACCGGCCAGGGGCCCAAGCGGCCCATGCAGCCCAAGCGGTCCAAGAAGCCCAAGGTGAATATTGACCACAACATGGAGACCAAGTTCACCTATGAGGATGTGTCGTGACTTGTGGTGCTGTGTGCAGGTGGTGGTGGTGCTGGTACCAGGGAGGCAGGGGCTAAAGGGGGGAGGGCTAGGAGGAGGGCAAGGAGCTGGGCAAGGAGCTGCCTGCCGGGGCCAAACAGAGGCGGGGGTGTCTGGATGAGGACGTGGCGGCCACCAAGGTCAGCTATCGGTGAGGAGGTTGAGTGATGGGGCCGGTGGGTGGGTGCTGCTGGTGCTGCAAATAAGCCTTGTGTGTTGTGTTGTGGTCTGCAGGGAGTAGGGAGTAGGGATCTCCGCGAGTGGCTTCAGCTGGGTGGTCTGGTCCAGGCCCTACGATTGGTGGTACCCTGATTGCTCAGTGTCGTACTCAAAGCAAGGGTCGGCGATATCGTCTTAGGGTTGCGGCGCTATAATTTCTCAATTTGTGATATAATGAACTTTTTATCGTGTACATTCCATTCCGACATCATGCGTAAAAACATTCCAGGAAATGTTATTTTACGTTTTACACAGGGAAACATATTACTACAATGCAATTACCATTTGAGTGCCCTTGGTGATTTCATTACCAGTAAATCATATTTCTAAACACTGTTCATTACTTGTGAAAGTGTAACTCAGATTCTTTAGGGTGCATTCCTAGAACCTGATCCCAGGATCAGTCATGCAGGAAATTTTATTACACCGTACTCAAATGTGTTTTTACCCGTTTTTACACCGTACTCAATTTTATTACACCGTACTGCTTAGGAAACAGGTAACACCACACTCGAGTCAACGGAGGTTACACGAGGAGGTTGGACGAAAGAACATGAAAGGACGAAAGACTCGAAGGGTCGCAACCGGAGGTTGCAACTGACCGTTACAACTGCAAGGGTGGTAACCGAATCGACCATCGAGTCGCTGTGCGACTCGATAACCGTTCCTTCAACTGTATTCTACAACTGCTTTACTTTCCTATTTTCTATATATTGTTGTATGCTTGTTTCCTTTAATCAATCACTTGCTCTCACATACTAGTGCAAGGGTTCAGCTACTCAAAATTCCGCTGCACTACTCAAGCATCCTTATACAACTAGGACTTAATCTCTGAAAGATCCTAAGGGCTTTTTCTCAGCCCAACTTGGTATGAGAGCTGGTCAGAGACCAACTTCCCACCAACAACACTCTATCTACAGTCAACATTTCAACAAGCTTCATCGATTATAAGTCATGGACAACAAGGGCAAGAAGATCTCTATGGGCTCACTCAGCGCCCAAAACACTCAACCCCGCAACTCTGGACTACACACTTCAGAACTTCAAACCGAGACCGGGGCTGCTCAAGAAACAACAGGAAGAGCACCAGAAATGGTGACCCCATCACCCTCCTCAAGCGTGGACCCGAACATTATGGAAAGGTTCTTCAGCTTCATGTCGCACTTCGACCAGCAGCAGCACACAAGGACACCTGCACATTCAACACAGAGCAACAGAGGAAACATGGGATTAGCGCCAATGAGCCTCGACAACTCATCGTTCGGGCGACACAATCAAGCGCCTACCTTTGCGCCTTATCACTCTTCACCGGGGACGTTCGAGTTCATGCCGCCCCGTGCCCAACCAACAGCAGCTGCATCACAACAGACACCAAACGAGATATTGAGTCTCCAGGCGCAGTTTTCACACGTGATCAAACTGCAGACATCCTCACCGTTCAACGGACACGACTTTTTTACCTGGAGCTTGCGTTGTCGCCACTGTCGCCGCCGCCGCTATCGCCACTTGCGTTGTCGCCACTGTCGCACGCCGCAGCGGCGGCGGCGGCGGCGCCCGCACCTCTCGGTGGCGTGGCCAGGCCCCGTGATGGAGGGACGGCCGGCGGGAGTCCGCCGTCTTCTGCGGCGAGGAAGAGGACCCAGGGGAAGGGGGCAGGGCGTGGTCCAGCCTCATGCCCGTGGCTGGCCTGCGGTTGGCAGGTCCGGCGGCGCCACAGACGTTGCGCGGCCGGCTGCCGCCCGAGGACGCCGCCACCGCAACATTACGACGCCGCCACAGCGCGGCGTCGATGCCACGGCAAGATGTTGACGCTGTGACAGGAGCACGATGCCGTCGCAACAGTGTGGCGTTGACACCATGCGTCGGGGCTGCGACGGCAGCACCACGATGCAGCAACGACTGCTCGGCATGGCCACGACGGCGGCCCAGCAGGGATGAACGACGAACGAGTACGCGGCGGAAGCGTGGAGAGCAGGCCCAGGAAGGGCGGCGGCAGCTGCTACTGTGGCTGCGACGGCGGCGGCTGCGGCGACGGCAGAGGAGGAGACACCGGGGGAGAAACACGTGGCAAGAACTGCGCCACGGGGCCACCAGAGTCAGCCGACTCCTCGACCGGGACAACCGACGGGAGGGGACTTACGTGAGACACACCAGACGGAGCAGGACAGGGAGGGAGGGGAGCAAGGGTTGCCGTGGGAGTGGGAACCAGAAACAGGGTGGGGAAACAAGGAGACCTCGGTGGGGAAAGCAGTGATAAAAGGAGACAAACTCGTTGAAAGTGACGTCACGGGAGTAAAAGAAGCAGTTGGACGACGGGTGGAGAAAATGCCAGTTGGACGAGTCAAGGGGGAAACCAAGGAAGACATAGAGGACAGTGCGGGCAGTGAGCTTGTCTGTGCCTGAGGCACGAACGTGAGCGAGGCAGCCCCAGAGGTGGAACGCGGAAGCGTCACCAGGGAGCCCAATCCAGTAAAGGGTCGGCAAAACCTGCGGCCGCTGGGAGTGCGGCCACAGGTTAAGCTGGTGAGCAGCGTAGCAAACGTCGAACGGCCACAGAAAATGGGGTGCACTAGCATGGATCATGGAGGTACGAGCCACCTCCATGATCAAGCCGGTGCGTCGCTTAGCGAACCCATTATGTTGCGGGGAGTTCTGTAGGGTGTACGACTGGGTGATGCCCTACGCACGACAGAACTGTCCAAGCCAACCGGAGGCGAACTCGCCGCCACGGTCGGAGTGGAGACACAGCACAGGGAGACCGCGGTGGAGGCGCGCAACTACGACCCACGGGATAAGAGCGTCAGGCATGGCAGCCTTACGCTCCAGGGGAAACACCGTGGTGTAGCACGTGTAGTCTTCGATGAGCACGAGAAAGTATCGCTCTCAACGCGGCCCAGGGATGGGGGCTGAGCCCCAGACGTCCGGGTGCAGGGTCTGGAGGAGCGCGTTGGTAGGGCGAAACGAGGAGGAATGAGGGGCACGGTGCAGCCGGCCCTCGACGCGGGGAGTGCACAGTAGCGCAGGCGAGGGAGGGAGGGCAGGGAGCAACGCAGGGAGACCTAGGACGAGACCGTGCTGAGACATGTGATGCAGACGCTGAAGTGCGAGGTGACCTAGGCGGTGGTGCCATAGAAGCGATGGGTGAGTGAGCGACCGACACGAGCAAGCTGCAGCGACCTGGGTAGGCACAGGACCGGGGGAGGATGTGCCCACCTGGGGGGAAGCAGTGTCCAGCGTTAGACACCGAGTCAAGCATAAAGGGCAGCAAAGCAGAAACTGTGGCCTGAGGAGGAGTGAGCGTGGAGCCTAGGCTAGACAAGGCAGAAGGTCCTACGCCTGACGCCGCAGGGAAGTCTGTACTACACAGAGGTACTACACCTAAACTAGATAACACATGGTAATAAGATATGGGCACACTAGAAGCATCAGCATACAGAGAATGCAGGGCAGAACAGATCTGATCCATGTCTAACTCAAAGACAGGCACACCGTGGCGCAGCAGACTGGCCTAGTTAGGGAGGTCCGGCACCGCGGTGAAGCGGCGACGGAAGAGGTCGTCGAGGCAGCGGGCGGTCAGGTGCGGGCGAGGACACATAGTGCTGCAGAGGGGGCCAGTCTGGAGCTGGTACTAGTAGCCCTCAGCACCGAAGCTGCCGGCCGACGCCGAGCTGCGAGGGCCGCCACAGCGGCCACCACCGTCAGAGGCTCCTGGCCACCCCGGCAGGAGGCGGGCCCACGACTACTGCTGCTTCTGCTGTTGCTGCGGCTGGTGCTGCAACAGCTGCTACTGCTCGTGGGCACCAGCCCCGAACTCCTCGTCGGACTTACTGTCCCCGCAACCACCACCACCATCACCACCACCACCCCCGCCACCATGCCCCAGCTATCGCTTACGCTCAAACACACCCGATGCCTCGGGGCGGTTCCGGACCTTTCTGACAGAACCGCCTCATCTTCTTTAGACCTTCTAGTTCGACATTCGGGAGTTCTCCGACAGGGCCAAGGATTCAAGGGTATTTCATCCTGATTACCCTTGCCAGCGGCCGGTTTTTTTTTATTACCCTGATTTTGTAAGGCTAATTTTCTTCTTATCCTTAGTCAAAAAGTGTAAGGGTTGTACTACCCTGCTGCAGTAAGGGCCTCTCACTTTTACCCTGCCCAGTCATGGTGCAACGTAAAAGACCCTGTAATAGAAAACTACAAGGGTCGCAGATTCGACAGCAATCGAATCTGGGGTATCCGCGAATACCATCCAGACAGTCCCGCCCACCGACAGTCGAACCCACCTTGTTGGCATTGCTAGCACTCTCACGTGGGCACCTACAGCTCTAGGCGCGGCAACAATCCTGCCACCACAGCAGTCCTTGCACCGTCGGCGCTAATACAGCCATGCATGGCGGCATCATTTTGCTCCCTTGCTCACGTCTCCAAGCACCTGCACAGAAAATGCAGACATTCACGCGGACCGCGTGGTCCCTGAATAGTGCGGTGGGGTTTCATCCTCAGCAGGGTACCCACCCATCTCCCCTTCTCCCCTCCCTTTCATCTCCCCATAACTGGTTGCACAGAAATACTCACCACAAATGCTGATTCCTTATTCTCCTCCACGCTTGTTTCACACCCCGCCATGCCAGTCTCGATGGAAGACGAGGACAGCGATGAGGCGTCAAAGGTCTGTCGCAATGGCCTTAGCATCCTTGGCGTCTTCCCTCCCGTCCCACCAGCTGTAGCCCCGTCGTTGGGCCCGACGGCCCCGACGCGGGCGCAGTTGCGTAGACGCTGCGGCTGCGGTCTCAGCTGCAGGGGCAGTCGCGGCGACCGCAGCTGAAACGTCAGTGTATGGGCACTGGGAGGGCGCATTGCCCTGAAAGATAAGGACTGCCGCAGTACCGCTCGACTGAGCGATAGTGCGCTGGCGAGTCTCTATCTCACACAGGGCGGTGACAAAGGCGGTAAGGGTAAGGTCACCTGGGTGCTGACTAAGGAAGCGGTCGCGGGCAGTGGCTAAACGGTCTGGAAGGCATGGCAATGAGGTCAGGGTAGCGCAGAACGGCGGGGGGGAAGGTAGTGAGCTGGGTGTCAGTGCTAGCAGCGCGATAGCTAGCCTCTAGTGCACGGAGGTGAGTGGCTAGGTAAGCTACAGCGGGAAAGGCGGCAAGATCAAAGAAGAGCATAGGGAGGATCAGGCGGCCAGCAGAGGGAGAGGCGGACGTGGAGTAGCGCGCAACGACTGCATCTAAGAAATCCTTGGCATTCGCGACAGCCGTGAATCGCGGACGATCAGACAGGGGAAGAGCATGACTAATGGCTAGCTGCGCTACGGCATCGCGGGAATCCCAGACAGCGTGAGCATGCGCAGTAGCAGAAAAGGCCTCACGCTGAGCAGTCGTGGGGTCAGCAGAGAGGGGATCAGACGCGGGGGGGCGGGGATGCAAGCCATCAACATGCACAGCCAGGGAGTGCCCATCCTGGCACTGACCTGTGAGGTGACGGCGTAGATCGACAAGCCAGGCGGGGATGTCGATCGCGTGCCCCTCCGCGTCCAGGCGGAGTACAGAGTCCGCCATCGTGCGACCTCAGCGACACAGCTCTACGGCGGCACAGCGACAGAGCTACACAGCGGCACAGCGACGCGTCGACAGAACTCCTCGGCAGGAAGACCAAGGGGAGGTGGGGGGGGGGGGGGGGGGGGGGGGGCGCAAAAGGCCGAGTGGGGCTTACAGGGCCAGCGGTGCGTAGAAGGACCGGCTGGGGCTCACGGGGCCAGTAGAGCGCGATGGGCCTGCAGGGCGCGAAGAAGGCTGGCGAGGCGCGATGGGCCGGCGGGGTTCGAAAGGGGCGGCGGGGGGCGATGGGCCGGCGGGACGCAGAAGGGACCAGCGGGGCGCGCAAGGGACCTGCGGGGCTTGAGGGGCTAGCGAGGCGCTAAGGGACCAGCGGGCGCGCAAGGGGCCGGCAGGTTTCTAAGGGCCGGCGGGGCGCTAGGGCCAGGTGGGGTGCAGGAGGGACCAGCGGGGCGCGAGGGCCGGGCGGGGCACGAGGGGCCGGCGGGGCGCGTAAGGGACCAGCGGGGCGCGAGGGGCTGGCTGGGCGCTGAGGGACCAGCAGGCGCGTGAGGGGTCGGCAGGGCGCTAAGGGCCAGCGGGGCGCAAGGGCCATGCGGGGCGCAGGAGGGACCAGCGGGGCGCGAGGGCCTGGCGGGGCGCGAGGGGCGCTAAGGGACCAGCGGGCGCGCGAGGGTTCGGCGGGGTGCTAAGGGTCGGCGGGGCGCTAGGGCCAGCGGGGCGCGTAAGGGACCAGTGGGGCGAGGGACTAGTGGGGCGCACTAATGGGGCTGGCGGGGCGTGGAGGACTAGCAGGGCACGCTAAGGCCAGCAGGGCGCGCTAAGGGAACGCGGGACGCTAGGCTAGGGCGAGGGCGGAAGCGGGTGGGCAGACCTAACCTACTATGATACCATCTCAGAGTAGCGGAATAACTAGAAAACAGGGTATGTGGTGGTTTTGACCTAAATTGTTGTACTCACTAAGGCATGCCCCTATCTAGTCTTCAGTAACATATACAAATATGTTTGACACACAGAATCCGCCATCACCACGGCTGCAGCAACCGACTACCGCTGGAGGGGGAGGACTAGGACGAGGGCTAGGACAAGGGCTAGGACTAGGGCGGAAGTGTTGAAATAAGCTAGGTAGCTAGGGAAGAAGCCATGGAATGGCGTGAGGTTTAGGAAGGAGAAATGTCGAATGAAGAGAGGGATAGGACTAGAAGAGAAGGAGATACAAGAAAGGGGTTTGTCCCCTCTACAGTAGGATGCAGTAAGTAGCACAACTACCAAGCCGACAATTATATAAACATATAATTTAACACACCCCCTAGGCTTGGTAGTGGCAAGCCCATCCCACCCCAAGCACCCCATTTCTGTGCACCCCCATTCCCTGCAGCAGCAGTGGCGCTGACCAGCCGGTCGACCCCTCGGCGATCGAGGTGGCGACGACGACGGCGGGTCGCAGCGGCAGCGTTGGCGACTGCGGCGGCGGCGGCGGCATCGAGGCACCTGGCGACGGCGGCTGCGGCACCCGAGGCAACGACGGCGTGGCTCAACCTGAGACGACGAGGGGGAGGGCGGCATGAGGTCGCCAGCAACTGCGGCGGAGAGGAAGGGAAAGGCAGAGGAGGGGAAGGGGGAAGGGGTGGGGGGCGGATCGTCAGCGCGGCGCCATGGCTGACCCGGGGCTGCCGCTGCCGAACGTGCGCTGGTGCGTCGACGCCGCCGCGACAGCACGACGATGCCGCCACGGCTGGACGTCGACGCCACGACAACGCGACGAGGGTGCCACGGCAGCAGCGTCGAGACCGCCGCAGCAGCACGATGCGGCCGGCCGGCGTCACGACGACGCCGCCACAGCAGCACGACGAGGCCGCCATGGCAGTGCGAGAGAGAGTGGAAGAGTGCGTGACAGAAGCGTGGGACGTAGGTCGAGAGGTTGAACCTGCTCTGATACCATGTTAAAATAAGCTAGGTAGCTAGGGAGGAAGCCATGGAATGGCGTGAGGTTTAGGAAGGAGAAATGTCGAGAGAAGAGAAGGATAGGAGTAGAAGAGGTAGATAAAATGTCCCCTCTTAGGTAGGATGCAGTAAGTAGCACAACTACCAAGCCTACAATTATACAAAACATATCATTTAACAGGAAGCGCGGGTGGGCGGGGAGGACCTAACCTAGCGTGATACCATCTCACAGTAACGAATGACTAGAATGAGGGATACACGGTGGTTTTGTGCTAAGGGGTTGTACTCTCTAAGAGTACGCACCTATCTAGCTTATAGTAACATATACACATCTGATTGACAGAGAGGTCACCAGGTGCCGACCAAAATAAACTTCCGTGAATCTAGCAGTTTTCTGTTTCAGGGTTGTTCCGCGTTACTGCGCTGATCGCTCAGTGTCTATAGGAAAAAAAATCGTTTTTTTTCATCAGTGTTGTACTTGAGAAAAAAAAGGCTTTCTCATCAGGGTTGAATTAAAAAAGGAGGCTTTTCCATCAGGGTCGGTACAAGCAAACACCCTGAAAACAAGTGTAAAAAGCGTAAAAATCCTGATATTGTGGGGCCTGGTCTGGTCCCTCATCCGCTGCACAGTGCAGTACAGAATAGAATAGACAAGCATGCTGTGTTGCGTGTGATGTGTGTGCTGTGGTTGTATGACAGTCATGGAAATAAGCCCTCGTTGCCAATGCCATTGGCCTATAAATTTGCAGCAGGTGCATTTGTATGCCTCCTGGAGCATCGTCTTAGGTCGTACAGCTACTGCTACAGCTACAGCTACTGCTGCTGCTGCTGCAGCAGCTACAGGGCGACTGACAACAGAGTGCACACACCTCCTGCTCATGGTGCATCCTCGCCATCACCATCACCACCACAACCACCATCATAATCAAGGCGTCCACTGGTACAAGTTAGAGAGACACACAATGGGTGGTTGGTTGGCAATCACAGAAGACTATTCAGCGATCCCCTATGTCGGACGCACCCTTTCCTGCTCTCCTTGCCTTACCTCGTGCCAACCCCCTCTTACTCCTCACTGCCATCCCTGCCCTGACTGCCCTCTCCACCCTCCCCTCCCTCCGCTATTCCTGGCAGCTTTGGGCGCCAAGTGATGCTGCAGCGGCGGCGCCTACTACTGCGCGGCATGGCAGGGGCGATAGGGCAGGAGAGGCGGTACAGCTGCAGCTGCTTGTGCAGAAACGCCATCTCCCGGGCATCGTCAGCATCATCATCACCAGCAGCAGCAGCAGCAGCAGCAGCAACAGCACTATTCTCTGCTGTTTCTGCAATGTGTCTCTCCAGTAGCCACAGCCCTCCCAGCTCTGACTCTTCCCCACCCTTCACTCCCCCAGCCCCATTGTCCTCCCTCATCTCCCTGCTGCCGTCAGGCGTGCCCCAAGTTGCCATGCTCTTGCTATCGGACCTTCCCCCACTGCTGATGCTCCAAGGGGCAACCTTGGCACTCCTCATCGCGCTCCTTCCACCCCATCTGCTGCCACTGCTCGACTTGCTGCTGCTGCTGCTGCTGCAATTGCCGCTGATTCTTCTCGCGCTTCTGTCTCTGTTCTCGCGCTGACGACTGACCTTGCCACGCCCACTGCCCCTGCCAGCACCACCAACACCACCAACGCCGCCAGCAGCAGCAGCAGCAGCAGCGGCGCTGGAAGCAAGGCCGCACCTCCTCATCACGTGGCACCACAGAGCCGATCCTCCTCCCCCTTCCTCTCTCTTTTCCAAAAACTCCGTTCCCTGTCGGCCCATGTCCGCACCACCATCGCCATCACCACCACTATCACCATCACGAACGGGCTCGTGGCTCTCCGAATTAGCTCCCTCGTTTTCCGCCGCATGCTTATCCCCTGGAATATCCAGCGGTCCTATCCCCTCCGTCTTCCCCACTGCGCCCCCTCTATTCGCTGCCTCCTCCTCCCTCTCCTCCGTCTCCTCCCACCCCAGTTCCGCGTACTTCTCCCCTTTACCTCCCAGCCATCCAGCGCACAGACACGCATCAGATGGCGCCACGCACGCCCGCCCATTCTCACTGTCGCTGCCGCCTTTCCCGGCGTCACTTCCGCCGCAGAGGGCGGGGATGCGAGTCGGCGTAGCGGAAGGAGCGGTGCGCGGGCTCCGCGCAGGCGGGCTGACGGGCGGCTGGAGGGGCGCGAGGGGCCAGACCTGAGATAGGGGAGACGGGGGGAATCGGGGGGGAGAAAACGGGAGACGCGGGAGACGATGAGAGACGCGGGAGATGTTGCGAGACGACGCGTCTCTCGGAGGGAAGCACCTCTTGAGATAGAGTCAGAGCGGGTACGGACAGACGCGTGAGCCTTGGTGGGATTGCGACGAACACAAGTGCCACTCGAAAAAACGGCGGAGGGGCCGCCAGCGGCAGCTGTGCCAGCGAAGAATCGATGGTATTGAGATGAACTCTTTCCGCACTTTCCGCACCTTTGTACTGGAATAATGCCTCTCGTCGTGTCTCCGCACTTTCCGCTCGCCATGCCGCGTCTTCGCCAGCTTGCTTCCTTTCACCGTTCCGTTCCACACAGCACCACCGCCACCACGCATCCCATCCATAGCACCCATCCCCCCATTCCTCCCCTTAGTACTAGAACTACTGTGCACACAGTACGTTCGTCCCGCTCGTAGTACTTTTGTCAGCGGCAGCTCCTGCCTCCGCGCCTTGACGAACAAACCACGCGCCGGAGCGGAGATAGCCAGGGGGAAATGCGACGACCGCGGCGCTCGCGGGGGAGGGCGGGGGTTTTCCGCTCCAGCGGGCGCAAGCGGGGCTTCCGCGGCCCGCTCAGTAGGCGCAGGCGCAGGCAGAGGCGGAGGCGGAGGCGGGGTTTCTGCAGAGAAGGCCTCGCAGGTGGGCGCAAGCAGAAGGAGCGCCTCGCGCACGGTGAGGCTGTGGGGGAGAAGCTTCGCGGAGCCATCGGGGAGGATGAGCGTGACCGCCGGCGGCTGGTGCGGCGGATCATGCGGTGACGAGCGCGGCGATAGGATCGATAAAGTGGTCATCGTAAGACGGTACAATCGCGAAAGACGACCAGGATGTCGGGATCGTGTCCCGCTGTTGCTATGTGGTTAGTGGCCTGAGTGGCAAATGGACATATGTTCTTGCAGCAATAGGGAAGGAGGGCAGATCGTGTGAACGGATAGGCTAGGCTGGGGTTTGATGAAGCGATTTAACTGGGCTTTAAAGCGGCCGTTGCATAGATCGTGGCTCCGTTTGAAAAGGAGGGTTCTCACTCTGCTGTTCGGCAGTGGAACGAATGGAGTGGGAATTACGCCCAGGTGACGACGGATGGATGGTCGACGGAGCGAGTTATTACAAGTAGCTGTCTAACGAGCTACCCACTGATGACCGACGGGTGCTTTTCCTGGCTGCGGTAATGTGCAGCGATCGACTAGCTGACGTGACGAGAGGATGACCTAGAGCTCAACAGCGAGGATGTACGCAACACACACCAAGGAAAGGCGGGGCCTGCTTGGTCTGAGTCACGTTCTCGTACGAGCAACGGAACTAACAACTAGAATTTAGGACGGTGAGTGAGTTGATAGAGCAAAGCAGGTCCGTGAATCGCGCGAGCCATTAGGTAGTAACGAGCAGAGTATCGGGACGGGACCATCGACGACTTCGTGCTGAATTAGTGACTGGAGTGCCACCAGACCAGACCAGACAACACAAAAGAAGCGCGGTGTGACACACAACTGAAGGAACCAGCGGGTGTGTATGCAGAGTGAGCACTCATCCGATTGCGGTTAGGTGAGATGCTCTTTGAGTCAGAAGGGTCAAAAAGCAATCTGAGACGGTTGGGTGGGGTTTGAGCGAAAACGTACGCTTGGGACATGCTGCTGTGAGGCAGGCACAACCGAGGGACAGTTCGATGAATTTGAGATTTTAGGAGCCGGGCCGCAATCCCCTGTCAAAATTACTCGCTCCAGCCAATGGGAAAAGGGCGCCGCTTCGCTCGCGCCTTTGGCGATGGAAAAGTTTGGACACTATCGATCGGACCGTTCCACAGACCGATTGACAGATGACAGTAACGAGATCGGGTGTGCTCTTCGGGACTCAAGTCGCAAATATCTGAAGAGCACGCAAAACCCGATATTAGTAACGTTCTGAAGGACCAAGAGTGTAAAATGTACAAAGCTGGAATAAACTAAACAAGAGGCAACGCAATCGTCTTAGGGTTGCGGAGCCTATTCATTTTGGATAGATAGTGTCTTATGCTACTTATCAACATTCTAAGTGTGGGTTTCCGTTAATACTTAATAACGGTTTAATTACAGATATGCTATGTGGAATAGCTAGTCGGTTTTTTCTGTTATAACACGATAATAATGCATATATTACCATTAAGACTGTTACGAAAGCTAGGCTATGAGGAACGAGTAGGAAGCCATGGAAATGGCGTGAGGTTTTAGATCTAGGAGCTAGGAGAGGAAAGTTTGATGAGAGAAAAGAGGTACGAGACTAGAAAGAGAGAGGCATACAAGGAGGGGATTGTACCCTTTACAGTAAGGTTCAGTAACAACTACCAAGCCTATCAATAATATATAACTTATATAATTTTAGCACACCCCCTTGGCTTGGTAGTGGCAAGCCCACCCCACACAAAGCACCCCCACACCCTTGCACCCGCATGCCCTGCAGCAGCAGCAGCGGTTGACAGCGCGGTCGACCTCTCCACGGGCGGGGCGGCGACGTCAACCATGAGGGTGAGATGGCGACGACGGCGGCGGTGGCAGTGACGATAGCAGCGGCGGCGGCGGCGTGCGGCGGCAAGTAAGGCCACCGGCAACAGCGGCGGCGGCGGGGGCTTCAACAACAGCAGCGGCGGCGGCGGCGCTCGCCCCACTCAGCGGCGTGGCCAGGCTCTGTGACGGTGGGACGGCTGGCGCGAGTCAGCCGACGGCTGCGGCGAGGAAGAGGGGATGCAGGAGAAAAAGGGGTAAGGGGGGGAGCGGGGCTTATGCAGCGGAGCCCGGTAGCGTGCCGCCCCGTGCGGTGAGGTGGCTGCATGCGGGCGCGCTGGTCAGCGCTAAAACGGGGCGCTGGCCGCTACCGTCCACACCGTACGCGCGCTGGCTGCACATCGCTACGGCAGCACGACGGCGCCACGGCTTTACATCGACGACGCCGCCACGGTTTGGCGTCGACGCCACGACAGCGTGACGCCATGGCAGCGCGCCGGGACGGCCGCGACAGTGCGACGCGGCCGGCGGCACGACGACGCCGCCACAGCAGCACGACGTGGCCGCCATGGCAGTGTGAGAGAGAGAGGAGGAGGAGTGCATTGCGGAAGCGTGGGGAGCAGACCCACGACGGGCAACCCGCTCTAATACCATGTTACGAAAGCTAGGCTAGGAGGAACGAATAGGAAGCCATGGAAATGGCGTGAGGTTTTAGATCTAGGAGCTAGGAGAGGAAAGTTTGATGAGAGAAAAGAGGTACGAGACTAGGAAGAGAGAGGCATACAAGGAGGGGATTGTACCCTCTACAGTAAGGTTCGGTAACAACTACCAAGCCTATCAATTGTATATAACTTATATAATTTTAACAAAGACTAGTAACACAAACGTGGCCTTTCTCAGATTTAGAACGAATGATTAGAATGAGAGGATACAAGAGTATATAGCTAGTGAGTTGTACTCTTTATGGCAAAACCCTATGTAATCTACTAAGCATACACAAATATGTTTGACACACCCTCTAGACTAGATAGACGCAGAGCCTGATAAGAGACAAACAGCTCAAGGCGGCACTAGTAGTCCAACCTCTGAGACAGGGGTCAAAAGACTAGTCAAAGGTGTACAAACAAGGCAAGAATAAGACCAGGGTGGCACTACTAGTCCAGCCACTGAGAGGAAGCCACAAGGCCAGTCAGGATAATAAATAAAGAGTTATACACAATCAAGGTCCTAGCAAATGAGGTGCTACAGGAATGAGTCCAAGCTGTACACAGTGCCGCTGATGATCTTTAGGCGCAAGCGCCTTCGTAAAGATATCAGCTGTGTTTGCCCCTGAGGCCAAGTATACTACGCGGGCCTGGTGGCACGGCTGTAGCTCGTGCAGGAGGAAGTACCGCAGCTGGATGTGCTTTACTCTGCCCTCGAGTCTGGGCTCCTGACACAGGAGGATCAAGGCCCTTTTGTCAGCGTACAGGACCGGGGCAGAGTTAGGCCGCTCACCTAAGTCTGTAAGCAAGAAAGTCAGCCAGCGGAGCTCCTGTGCCGCCATGGCACCGGCGTAGATCTCAGCCTCACAGCTAGACTGGGCGACAGACGACGAGCGGGTGAACCTCCACGAGACAGCACCTGCACCAAGGCTAAAGCAGTAGCCCTGAGAGGACCTGAGAGTCTCGGCGTTGTCTGCCCAAGAAGCGTCTGTGTACCCGGTAACGGCCATTGGTCAGCGTCCTCCTAGCACTAGCCCCATGTCCGATGTACTTGCTAGATAACGCAAAACCCTCTTAGCTGCCGACTAGTGCTGTGGTCGGTGTCTGCCGGAGGCCACAAAGCAGGCCAGGATGCTGAGAGGGTATGCGAGATTTGGACGAGTGCAAGTTATCAGGTACATGAGGCAACCCACCAGCTTTGCGTAAGGACCACTAGGCTCTACAGCCTTTTCAGGGACTGGGGCAGAGAGTCTGTGATCTACTGACTGAGGGGTGGGCTATGCGGAAGAGAACTGAAGGCCGAACCTCTGAAGGACTTGGCGCACCAAGTGTGACTGTGAGAGAGTAATGGTGCACGCTGCTCTGTCTCTGGAGATCTGCAAGCCAAGACATCGGTGCAGCTCTCCTAGGTTAGTGCAGGTGTGTCTCCTCAGCAGCTCGGCCTTCACGGAGGCCAGCGCGTCTTTGTCTATAGTAGCAAAGACTGGATCATCTACGTAAACAAGGATGTAGAACGGAGTCTGGCCGGAACGGACGAAGAGCGAGCGGTCTGCAGACGACGGAAAGAACTGCAGGTCAGCAAGTGTAGTACGCAGTGTGCGGTGCCACTCACGGGGCGCCTGGCGCAGGCCGTAGACGGGGCGCCGGAGGAGCCACTCGGTACCAGGGGAAAAGGTACCGGAGAAGCCCTGGGGGCGGCGCAGGTAGAACTGCAAGTGTACACTGCCTTTGAGGAAAGCTGTGCAGCTCGTAGATACGCTGTGCTGCTACGTGTAGCAATGACCGAAGAGTAGTCATCTTCGGGGTCGAGGAGAAGGTTTCAAAGAAGTCAACCCCCTCACGCTGACTGAAGTCACGAGCAACGTAGCGCGCCTTGAAGACAGGCGGCTCTTCAGGAGGGCGCTTCACCTTGAAGAGCCATCGACCATTGACTACGTTCACCCAAGATGGGGAAACTGCGTCGACGAAGGTACCGGTGGATCTCTAAGATGCCATCTCCTACTCCGTGACAGCTATCCACTGAGAGGCCCAGGGTCCCAAGGTGGCCTCAGCACAGGTGCGAGGGGTCGGGATGTCGAGGGCATCTAGGTCACCCTGAGGGACTAGTAGCATGGAACAGAGATGGGGAGCAGCCTCAGATAGGAAATCGAGCTAGAGCTGCCTATCCTCTAGGACGTCACTGCCAAGAGCAGCCACATCCCCAACGATTGGAGGGCAAGCGAGATCAGAGACCAGAGCTGTGGCGTAGTCCAGGCAGCGGGTAGCGGCGAAGTCAGTGATAGCAGCGACAAGAGCCGACACACTCGAGACAGAAACGGACGGGCCGGTAACGAGAGAGGCAAGGACACGAGGAACAAGGGGACACGCAGCACGGAGGAAGTCCGAGAACGGAGGCGAGGCCACAGCAATTGACGATGGAGGAGGAGACAAGAGGAGAGGAGGAGTATGAGACGCGTGAGAGCGCACCAACATAGGGTGAGAACGCGGAACAGGGGAGGTAGGACGAGCACGAGACGGACGACGAGACCAGACATGAGACGGAGGAGTCGGGTCACGAGAGAGGGGAGGAGACACAGGAGGAGAACGAGGAGGAAAACGAGCTGGAAAAGAGTCCACTGGTGGAAACACATGGCCATAGACCGGCCGAGGAGGAGGCGGTGTGGACCGAGGAGGCACTGGTGGGCAGTCTGGAGAAGGAAGGCCGAGGAGGCGAAGTGCCAACACCAGAACTTCCAGCAGGACCACGGCTCACTCAGAGAAGCCCCACGACAACACCCCCAGAACGGGAACCCGCTCCAGTACCCACTCTGGCACGCTCCCCAGCATTCCAAGAATGCAGAAAACCCAGCGGAGGTGACGATGGCAGTTGCGGCTGCGGCGGTGATGGCAGCTGCGGAGGCGGCTGCAGCTATGACAGCAACGTCGGCGACAGCGGAGGAGAGACCGAGGCGAGGACAGGTGCTGGAAGGGACTCCGCCGAGCAGCGAGAGTCAGCAGACCCCTCAGCAGGGACAACCAACGGGAGGGGGGTGACGTGAGACACACCAGACGGGGCAGGGAGGGGAGGGGGAGGAGCAGGGTTGATCGGGGGAGGGGGGGGAACCACGAACTTGGGGGGAGTGACCGAGGGACCACAGTGGGGAAAGCGGTAGTAGAAGGAGACGGACTCGTCAAAGGTGACGTCGCAAGAGTGAAAGAAACGGTGAGACGGCGGATGGTAGAAGTGCTAGTCAGACGAGTCGAGGGG